GTTCATGCACTGTGTTGGTTTTGTTCTTTGAGAAAGGTGATGTTCACGTATGGCTCGTTTTATACACCAGTAAAAAAAATACATATACCTATGTCTTGAATTTGGAAAAAAAATCATATTTTATTTATCAATAAAAAGGGTTCAGTGGATGCGCATATGAAACTGGTGGGTTCGGTCCATCAAAAAAGGTTAAGAACCACTGCCCTAAGGCTAACCTCACAGGACCCGAAAACTAACCTAAACTCAATTCACACCTTGGTCCTAAACCCAACCCTCACACCCAAAACCAGCCTCTGAAGTTGTGGGGCCCAAAGGAGCACCCGGACCCGACAAGGCTGCGTTTTCCTTAAAACTGGGCCCCACGATGTAGGAAAAACAAGGACACACACACACACACACACACACACACATACGAAAAACAGACATGAGCTATAGCATTATTGTCTTCCTTTAGGTTTTTTCCAGACACCTCTACAGACGGGCAAAGCAGAGGGATTCTCAGCTGATTTTACTGTGTACTATAAGAGCGGATCAGCCGGAGCAGAACAAGCACACAAACACATGCGCAAGCACAACAACAGCAGGTCACGCAGCTGCAGAAAACATCTGGAGACAGACGCCTCCATGTTGCTGTCCGACTTCTTTTTTCTTCTTTGTTTGCATTCCTGAGGGAGGGGAATCAAAATGAAGATGTATTCGTTCACTCGTCCTCCAGATGCAGAGCTGTGACCCCCACAGAAACACTTGATTTTTCTGGCAGGGAGTGTCTGCAGCAGGAAGCATCAACAAGCTCCGGGGCAACATAAAGTAAAGGAAAATAATAGAATAAAATACAGGATCTGCACACTGAGCTGCACCCGATGAACCAACTCTGGAGCCAAAAACCCCACTGACCTAATAAACTCCACGAGCTGTTAAACGCAGCGCTGTGATTTACTCAGCCTCTGTGACTAAAGAGTTGTGCAAGCTTTGTTTTAATACGGTCATAAAAATATCTTTACAGACAGTTTTCTCAGACCTCTCATCTGTTACCTCAAAAAGCCTCTTTCTTCTAATCAAAAATGCAGAGTAGAAGCATTTTGTTTCACACAAGACTAAGATTTTAAATGTATTTAAAGGCATACAGCTAAACTGACATTTAGCTTTTGTTGAAATATGACTTCTAAAGCACTATAAATAAATGGAATTCAGTAGACTTAATAGTCTGAATGCTGAGTCGACCTTTATTAATAGCAGACTATTATTTCCTGTTGTATATTTTTATCTTCCTCTTTTTCAATCCAGCTATTTTATATAAACTTTGTACAGTTTAAGCCAGTAATATGGATTCTACGACTTTTGGTTTTTGTCATTTTTAAACTTTTATAAAAAAATTTGACCTTTATTTATACATATTTTTTTCTATACAGTAGATACAAATAGAAATCTCTTCAGTTCCTTCAAAAATCTGTTTCAGCGTGTGTACTCTTTTTTGTCATATAATACTTTTAGCTTTAACACAGCCTTCACTCTTTATATGGTACTTTAGCATATGTGAAAAGGCTAGCTTATTTTGCTATCTCAACGGCTAGTAAAGTCAGCCAGGCTTTAGCTACTTTTAGCTAACTTTTCGATACACTTAGTTTGTAGCTGAAACCTGACTAGACTTTTCAATTTTTAGTCAGTCTTTTCCAACTTTTACCTTCTAGCTACTTTTGTTTTTTTGCTTTATTTAACTTTTAGCTYAACATTTTACTCTTTTCAATTGAAAGCTTTTGGAAACCTGTTAATATTTATATTGTAGATAGCTCCTTGAACAACCTTAGTTTGGAGAAATAAAATTTAATTTGACAGGATAAGRATTAGTCCAAGCAGACCCAGTTAAAAATGTTTGTGTATATTTTCTTGGCAGTACAGGTGTACAATATTTAAATCTCTGTCACTTAGAATGTTACATTTCATTGTTATTTTGACAGAAATATGCAAATAGACTGCACGAGAAGTGCTACAACCTGCTGCTGATGAAATTAGCTTCTTCAAATTATAAACAAATTCTATGAAAATAACGATTGTAAATGTAATATCAATGTAAAGTTACCTGTATATAAAATTGTGTTTGCATCAATCACTATGAAACAGTTGAGTCTGGAGATGTTTTAAGATGACAGGAATTCATTTTGGTTCCAGTCAGAGTAGCTGTTAGCTCGTCAGTCCAATCATTGAGGTCAGTGGTGAACATACTGTATAATCATGACTAGACACAGGGACAGAATGCAGAAGCTGAAGCCAAAATAGCGCATCCCCATGCAGGCTAGCAACACTAAAGTCTAAGTTCATGTAAACAACTAGAACTAAAAAGAAAAAAACACACCAGGTGCTGATTTGTGTTGCTTCATAGAGTTCTTACTTTGCTGTTGTATGTTCAAATATTTTCTCTAATATATTTACTTGTAACTACAAAAAGACTATGACCACAGAAATAAAACTTAAAAAACCTCTAAGTATTAGGTTTTGAAAAAACGTGTTTCCTCACCTGAGACCTGAACAAGTGCTGACCACCACACTCGAACCCTCCACGCCCAGAACCTCCCCGTGGTAGTAACAATGATCCTGGAAGACAAAATCCTAACTCAGAATGTATCTGTTTGCAGAACAGCCTGCAATAAAGCCATAAAACATCATATATTTAAGGAAGAAGCTGCAGCATTTTCTGTTGATGTTGTTACTGACTTGATTTTTTTTTAAATAATCCTTTTAAAATCCCCTCAGCAGAAATACATCTGCTTGTTCAAACTCACAGTGTTGGCTGGAGTCGAGGACTGACGGGTTCCATCGGGGCTGTACCATATTTCCTGATATCCTGGGGCCAGCAGCTGCCTGGAGAAAAAACTTTTATTTTAATAAAAACAAAAACTCAGAGACAGATGAACATTTATTGTCAGCAACAAAAAACAACAAAGACACATAGAACAAATAGTGACAAATACTGTAAGTACCTGGGTCGGTTTTTAATGAGTAACAGCTGCAGAAAACTCAACTGATAAAATAAGGCCAGTGGATCTCCAGCTCATAAACTATTCATGCTGGTAGATACACTCTGCAAAGTGTTAAAATTTTAAAGCTGTACTCAGGCAAGGCAGCACATAAATATATACAGTATATATATAAAAATCAATATCCATTTTTCTCGAATAATCAATTTGCATCCTGAATAGTAGAGTAAATTATTGGCAAATGTTCTCCATTCATTTTATTTTGCACAATATAAGACAGACTTTATGGGGAGAGATGGATAAATAAGAGGGACATGCACGTCTGGACAAACATTCATTTGATTTGGGTGAAACATGACATGCCTCTTATCCTCCATCTGTGTGTTTTATAGGCCTTTGGACCCAAATCAGCACTGACGCTTATTTTCCTGTCGCACTCCTTCCAACCGGGTCTCAGCCCATCCTTCCTGTTTTCATTCATAAACTCTGTCTGCCTCACAGCTGGCTTGCCTTCGCTCTATCTCTCTTCAAATCTGTTCTCATCTCTCCTCAAAAGTTCTGACTCTTCGAATTGGCGGAAGCAAATTTAGGCCACAGGAAAAAAAAAAAAAACAAACTCTGCAAACACCAGCTCAGCTGACAGACCTGACTGGAAATAACAGCTAATCAATTCTAGAACATGCCAAATTGTTTATACCTCGGGCAGTTTTACATATACTGAGGTAAATTTTGGTGAGGGAGTAGCTGAGTCATCCCCAACCTAAGGCAGTTTTATACTCCATCCAAAGCTGCAAACGTGTCTCTCATTGATGTATTTGAATGATGAAAATCACATCATTTTCTTCTCTGAGTAGATTCGTCCCCACTTTTTCAACACAAGGCCAAAGCCAAATCTTATTTAGCAGAAGTACAAACTATTTCGTGATTGGTCAAAAGCTTGTCATGTGGAAGAGTGCTTGAACAGCAATGGTGTCATTTTGCCTGTTGCCAGTTACCAGAAGTCAGCTTTTGTGCGTGCAAGTAACATGGATAGCTTTGAAGAACAGTTGGCCAAAGCAGTCAGAAAGTATGTCCATTTACATGACTCTTCCAGACACTTATATAGTAAAATATCCATAACTTCCTTTATGGAGACAGTATATACATTGTGCACTATGTCTCCCGAAAAGTGTGGCGCTTTATCCATGACCATTTTGTGGCCAAATGGTGGATTCTGGAATGGAGTGGAGACTCTGGCGGCATGGGTTGTCCAGGAAATTGTGTCTCCTGAACTATGAAAGGCACCGGCGTAATTTACACGGGGGATGGGGGTGTTATAACCCCCCCAATAATTTGATCCAGTCAATATAACCCCCCCAATAAAATTGCATCATTTAAGTATACATATATTACATCAATAATTGATTTTCTTTATTCTTTTACATTTTTTAGTAAAATTGCTGCGTGTTTTAATGCACACACCCCCCCCCGAACCCCTCCCCTGCAAAAAACTTGGTATCACCCGCCCGCTGTCTCTACAAGTGGACCGGCCGCTGCTGCGCCGATTATGAGGAAGCAGCTGGAGTGAGTGTGGTTCAAAGGAAATGAGAGGAGTGCCCAAAAGCGGACAACCAACAGTTTTTAATTGTTGGTCAACTACACCCCGTTGTAAAAACAGAAAACATCAAAATAAGGTAAATTGATGATTTGTTTACTCCATGCTGCTATGTAGCAGACACAGTGTTTTGGCTAGCTTCGTTTTACTACTCTTCACCTAAACTGACTGAGTCAAAAGAAAAATAAGATAAACATAGATATTTGTGCACATGCAGCACTGCAGCTGTGCTAAAGATGCACAGGCAAAGGCTGATGGATTTACATCATAATTAAAAATGGTTGGTTCTTTAGTTCAGTCAAAATCAAAGTATTTAATCTTAAGTTAAACACATTAAAAGTTCATTCAGATCACCACATTCCTCTCACTGCAGCTGCCATGAGTCCAGTTCTACAT